CGCAAATGAGAATCTCTGACACCTTCTTGTGTTTCTCCTCATCCAGCACCTCGGGATCGGGTCGTTGTCACCATGGCGCGCTGCGTTGGCTGCACCTTCCTCCTCCTCCTCGTCGCCCTCTCGGTCAATGCTCAGTATGAACATTACAGCTTCCGCAGTTACCCCCGAGACGAGCTGATGCCCCTCGAGTCGGCTTACAAGTACGGGCTGGACCAGTACACGGGCGAGAACTGGCCGGAGTCCATCCACTACCTGGAGATAAGCTTGAGGCTGTACAGGCTCTTGAGGGACAGCGAGGCCTTCTGCAACCTGAACTGCAGCACAGCCCGGATAGAGGACAACCCTCCCCCGCAGGGCCCGGCCAGTGGGAATCAGTCGCGGGGTCGCTTCAACGCCTTCCCCGAGCTGCGGGTGTTTGCAGACGTCCTGATGAGGGCCCGGTGCCTGAAACGCTGTAAGCACGGCCTCCCGGCCTTCCGCCAGTCCCAGCCCAGCAGGGAGACTCTGCTGGAGTTCCAGGCCCGGGAGCCCTACAAGTTCCTGCAGTACGCCTACTTCAAGAGCAACGACCTACCCAAGGCCATCGCCGCTGCCCACACCTTCCTCCTGCTGCACCCCGACGACGAGATGATGAAGAGGAACATGGCCTACTACAACAGCATGCCGGACTCCGAGACCCACGTCAGGGACCTGGAGACCAACAACTACGAGAACCTGTTCATCAGAGCGGTGCGGGCCTACAACGGGGAGAACTGGAGGACCTCCCTCTCCGACATGGAGCTGGCCTTGCCCGACTTCTACAAGGCCTTCCAGGAGTGCACGGCCGCCTGCGAGGGATCCCGAGAGGTCAGAGACTTCAAGGACTTCTACCCGTCGGTGGCCGACCACTACACCGAAGTGCTGAGGTGCAAGATGAAGTGCGAGGGCGACCTCACCCCGGTCATCGGAGGGTACGTGGTGGAGAAGTTCGTGGCCACCATGTACCACTACCTGCAGTTCGCCTACTACAAGCTCAACGACGTGCGAAACGCCGCCCCTTGCGTGGCCAGCTACCTGCTCTTTGACCCGGAGGACCAAGTCATGAAGCAGAACATGGTCTACTACCAGTACCACATGGAGAAGTGGGGCCTGACGGAGGAGAACTTCAAGCCCAGGCCCGAGGCCGCCCTCTACTACAACATCACCACCAGACAGAGGGAGATGTACGAGTTTGCGTTGCAGAACCTGGCGGACGACGACGAGGGCGACGTGGTGGAATATCTCGACGAACTTTTACACGCCGGCGTCTTCTGAACATTGTCTGCGGCGCTCGGACGGTACGCCGAGGTCCGTGACTTTCCGGGGGCCGAATGTCGCCTGTCTTGTTGTCTTTGGAATAAAAGTCCCCAAAAAACACGGAAGAGTCCGAGTCATGGCGTAGGCGTGATGAGACGTTAGGATTTTACAGGTCTGCTTCAGTGGCGGAACTACCACCATAGCGACCGATGCCCGCGACAGAGGGGGGGGGGGG